ATTGTGCTCTTAAGGAACCACTCTAAGCCCTCGAGCCAGTTCTCAAAATCGATCGAGTGCCCCTCGGCATCAAAGGTGAGCAACGTAGGAGTAGCCATAGCAGCAGTAGTGGTAGTGGCAGCAGCAGCAGCAGCAGGGCAGCGCGGCTAAGCAAGGGTAGGGCAGTGCAGCTCGGGCAGGGTAGCACGGCTCGAACAGGGCGGCGTGGCTTGGCAGGGCGGCGCGGCTGGCGAGGCCGGCAAAGCGTGTGCGGGCAGCGCGCGGGTGGGCAGGCATGGTGCGCGTGCAGAGCGCGTGCAGGGCGGCGGAGCTACAGGCAGAGCGCGCGCGTACAGGGCGGCGCTCAGGCAGGGCAGCGGAGCTAGGCAGTGAAAATCGACTTGCCTAGGCTCGTTTTGGGCAGGATAAAAAGCGCGACGCGCCTAGGGGCGCGATTCGAGTTGGAACTAATGGTGGGCCCTCTTAAGATTCTGGTCCTAAGGACCTAATGGCTCTTAACACCATTTTTGGAGATGTGAGAGCAAGATTGGTGGGGTTAGGTGAAGGGAAGGGGGTACAAGGAGAATGTCCAGATGATTTTTGTACCCCCTAAAGCTAGTCCCCATACAGTCTAGATACAGCTAAGCATATATGTTTTGAAAGGTTTCATACCGTATTGCCCTCATTCTCGTCTCTCCCAAATTTTTGCATTCTGGTTTGGCTTGCCTTGGGCATGCCAGGCATTCTGTTGATGCATAAGCTTTTTGGTTAAAAATATTGTTTATCCTGTTTACGTCCGAATCTGTAGACTGTGAGACCTAGGTCCAGAACTTAAGAAAGTTCGTAAGAAATGCCCGCCACCAGTATAAAAATCAATGCAAGCTAGATTATAAACATGGATTGAACGCCACCCTTGCTGGAGATGCCAATAGAGCGGACCGTTGAGGAGGTGGGATCGCGCTCTCTTTCCATCCGTATCGGCGTCTAAATAAAAGAGCGCGTCAGCGTGATGCTCGCGTGCACTGCTAGCGGAGAGAAGTTGAAGCCATGGGTTTTCTTTAAGCGCAAAACTGTTTTCAAGGGGGATTTCTCATCAGGAACCCTTGAATTTGTATTTTCAGTGTAGTTATATAATTATGGAACTAATACAGTTGTGTACTCTCTTGTGCAAATTTCATGGTAGCTGCGCATCCGAACAGCTAGATGGACGTGGACGGCGTGATCGCTTGGCTGGATGGGACCGTAAAGCCGTACATCTGCCGGAAATTTGGAAACAGCAGCAGGAAAGCAATGCGTGTCCTCGAATCCTATTGCGAGCGCATGATCGAAGAATTGAAGAAATGTTACGTGCGCTTAAGATAATCTTTGCAGTGATTCTTGCTGAATTCACCGCTGAGATTCAACCCGTGGAATTGGTCGTTTAAGGCCACAGTCAGGCAACTCTTCCGAGAGTGGTTCGAGCTCGAGTGGGTCAACAGTGTGCTGCTAAAGGTGAGCCTAACCCCCTTCCAATAGTGTGGGTTGTGTGCGCGTTTTTGTCCGCCTTGTACCTACTTGTCATGTTTTTCGTACGGCTTTTTTTTATTGTAGGCAACATATAAAGCCATCCACCTGAGCATCAAGGCCTAGAAGGCCGTGCCTCAGGCCTTGATTGTGCGTGCGTTTCTCACGTGTAGGATCAGCAATACCCTGGATGGGTCCTAGGACAACCTCTGCCTGCAGCACAGGCGAGACTCTGTATCTCAAGAAGTAGATGTGACTAATGAGGTAGTAGCATATGGATTCTGCAACAACAACGTAGAGGAGCTAGAGTCAGATGGTGACGCCGACTAGGATGACCCCACCATGGATAGGGAGGGTTAGGGCTCGATAAGTACTATAAATGATGCAGTGTTGTAGAAAAAATAGTACATTGATATTTGTAAAGCCATGGTGATTTGATTGATGCTTAGTGGCATTCGCTTCTAATACATAAGCAGGAATGATTGACAGAGAAAAGGTTGGGTACAAGTACAAACCCTAGAAATGTGTTGTATCCCATATGTGCTACCCCACTATAGCCTACATAGGCTAAGTCATATAAGTCTGACACATCCCCATAGGCAAAGTGGGGGAGAACAAGGGGTCACAAGACCAGTCAAGAAAAGCAAAGCAAGCCCACGGTGGATCACAACGTCACCACACATTCCGAGCACAAGTTCAAGGCCACAAGGCCAGTTCACATGCAAGATCATATATAAAGGTAAACAAGCAAGTGCAGGTATAGATACATCACAGTACAAGCAAGGTCAAGAAGTGAGCAAGTGAGGCCAAGTAGGCACAAGACCTAGCATCGTACAGCAGCGCTGATGATCACAAGGCAGAAGTGCCTTGGTAAAGATATCAGCAGTGTTGGCCTCAGAGGCCACGTAAGCAAGGCGCAGCTGACCACGCTGCTGCAGCTCACGAGCAAGGAAGTAACGAAGAGCAATGTGCTTCATTCTGTGCTCCAGTCTGTGCTCCCGAAATAAGGCCAGCATGGCCTTGTTGTCTACGTACAGAACTGGAGGAGAACGAGGCGGCTCTCCTAGGTCAGTCAGCAGGTAGGTGAGCCAGCGTAGCTCCTGTGGAGCCATGGCCCCCGCGTAGATCTCAGCCTCACAGCTGGAGCCGAGAACAGAAGACGAGCGGGTAGGCCGCCACGAAACAGAGCCGGAACCAAGGCTGAAGGTGTAACCCTGTGACGACCACTGCATAGCCTGGTCGTCAGCCCAAGAAGCGTCTGCGTGACCTGTGAGGACCACTGAATGCCGCCCTCCAAGCACTAGCCCCATGCCCGATGTACTGCACAAGTAGCGCAACACCCTCTTCGCTGCAGCCATATGCTCTGGTCGGTGTCTCCCAGGAGCAACATAGCGTGCCAAGATGCTAAGAGGGTATGCAAGGTCAGGTCGAGTGCAGGTCATCAGGTACATGAGGCAGCCAACAAGCTCTGGATAGGGCCACTCGGCTCTACGGACTCATCCGAAGGCAGAGCTGAGAGCGAGTGGTGAGTAGACAGAGGAGTGGCCTGAGGCGAGGAGTACGTGAAGTCGAAGCGCTGAAGGACCTGCTGCACCATGTGTGACTGAGTCAGGGTAATGGTGCGCTGTGCTCTGTCCCAGGTGATCTGCAAGCCAAGGTAGCTGCGCAGTTCACCCAGGTCTGTGCACGTGTGTCTCTTCTGCAGCTCCGACTTCACGTGGGCGAGTCCAGGAGTGTCAGCAGTGGCAAATACCAAGTCGTCGACGTACACGAGGATGTAGAACGGCGGCAAAGAGGTGTCGGTGCATAGAAACAGCGACGGGTCGGCAGTAGAAGGAGCAAACCCAAGAGCCGCAAGTGTAGTCCTCAGTGTGTCGTGCCACTCACGAGGCGCCTGGCGGAGACCGTAGACTGGCCGCTGGAGGCTCCACTGGGTACCAGGAGGAAACGACCCAGTGAAGCCAGGTGGGCGGCGCAGCCAGATCTCCTCGCGCAGGCTGCCCTGCAAGAAAGCTGTGCTGAAGTCAAGAGAGTAAAGCTCGTAGTCGCGCTGAGCGGCTATGTGCAGCAGCACCCGAAGAGTGGTCATCTTCGGGGTGGGAGAGAAGGTCTGAAAGTAGTCAACTCCCTGCCGCTGACTGAAGCCTCGAGCCACGTAACGCGCCTTGAAGACAGGCGGAGAACCCGGCGGCCGCTTCACCCTGAAAATCCACATGCCACTGACGATGTTCGCCCCAGGTGGGGGAACCTCGTCGACGTAGGTGGCTGTGGACTTCCAAAAAGCCATCTCTGCGTCCATGGCTGACTCCCACTGAGAGGAGTAGGGACCCTCGATCGCCTCAGCGTACAGTCGAGGAGTCGGGATGTCTGGTGCATCCGGGTCTCCCTCAGGGGCAATCAGCGTGGACACGAGATGAGGCAAAGCAGCAGCAAAACACTGGAATTCCTCCTGCCTGTCCTCAAGGACGTCCGTGCTAAGAGCACACCCACCCCCGACGGACGGAGGACAGACAGACTCAGACTCAGCAACAAGACTAGTGGCGTAGTCTAGACGACAGCGAGCAGCGAAGTCGACAAGCTCAGCCACTAAGGTAGACACAGCAGTGGACTCAAAGGAAGGGTCAGTGACAGCAGTGGCTAGGAGACGTGTGACAGTAGGACTGGCAGCACGAAGAGAGTCAGACTCAGGGTCAGGAAGGATAGGAAGAGAGGACTCTGGAGGAGACGGCAACGGGACACGAAGGGGAGCAGTGGAAGGACGCAGTGCCATCTGGTGCGTGCCTGGGACCGCAGGAGGACGCGGACGCGGAGCACGACTACTAGTGCGAGCAGCACGAACAGGCGGCGCAGGACGAGACGCAGGCTCACGACGCTCAGCAAGACCTCCAGTAGGACCAGTGTAGGGAGAAGGAGCGGGTAGTGGAGAGGCGGGCTGTTATTGTTACTGCGACTGGACAGGCTGTGGACACTCTAAGGGAGGAGCAGGACCAGTAGAAGGCGGGAGACCAAGAACCTGCTCAAGGAGCGGAACGAAGTACGGCTGCGGCGGCTCAATGCCTCCGCAAACAGCAGGGACAGCACCAGTACCCCCAGCGGTAGCACCAGCGCCAGCACCACCTCCAGCTCCAGCTGCGCCAACTCCAGCACCCTCAAAAGCACGAGCGCCAGCAGCACCTCAAGCGCCAACAACCCCAGCAGCTCCAGTACCCCCAGCAGCACCAGCAGCTCCAGTACCTCCAGCAGCACCAGCAGCACCTCTGGCAGGACCAACTCCAGCAGCCCCAGCAGCACCCCCAGTCCCAGCAGCTCTAGTACCGCCAGTACAAGCACCTCCAGGACTAGTGGCTCCAGCACCTCCAGCGACGACCCCAGGTTCAGCAGCAACAGCAGCACCTCCAGCTCCAGCAGCACGGCTCCAGCGCCTGGCAAACCACTCGCGCAGCTCCTATGGAGAGGGTAGCTCCTGCCTCAAGCGGCGTAAGCGTGGTGCGGTCTCGAAAGAAGGAGCGGGAAGCACCCTAGTCAAGGGTGAAGGTGTGTACGGCCTGAGCCGACGTGGTACCTGAGAGAGCAGACTCACTAGCACCTGGGGCAGTAGACGCACTAGCACCTAGAGCAGCAGCGTCACCTTCACCTAGAGCAGCAGTCTCAATGCCCGGGTCAGGCGGAACACAACAGTCACCCTCATCACTAGTAGACACAACATACATGGCAGCAAGAATTGCATCATAATCCAGATCAAAGATAGCAACCTCCGACCTAAGCAGCTCGCCCCAGCGGGGGATCTCAGTGGCGTCAGGGAACTGGTGACGCCAAGCGTCCGTCATGCGGCCGAAGCAGCGCTGGGTGGTGTGCGGGCCACCGCACGACTCACCAGTGCGGTCGTCGGTACGCAGGACGTAGGCACAAGGACCAGCACCCCCACCCCGCTGACGCGCAGCGTACCACTCACGAAGCTGCTGGGGGGAGGGGTCTCACGAGTGCGCTGCTGGTGCTGGCGCTGACCACCACCGAAGCCGCCCCGCTGCGCAGAGCCACCCCGACCAGCTCCACCTCCGCCGCCGCCACCTCCGCCACCGCCGCCTCCGCTCCCACCGCCACCGCCGTCGCCGCCTCCGCCTCCACCGCCGCCACCGAAGCCCCCACCCCCGCCACCACTCCCACCGCCACCCCCACTCCCTCCGCCGCCTCCACCGCCACCTCCACCGCCCCCGCCAGCCCCTCTAGTGCCCTTTCCCCCCTTGCCCTTGCCGGTGGGGCGTCTCCCGCTAGGGGCATTCGCAGCGCGGACCGACTCGGTGCCATCGAAGTTGACGGCAGCAGCAGAGGCAACAGAGGGCAAAAGGGAGGAGGAGGAGCACCCCTCAAAGAAGGGGGCACGAGGGTCACCACGAGAGGATCCTACAGCGACTATACTCTTCTCAGCTGCCAGGAGGCGCTCCTCGAGGAGGTCAATGGTGAGTGTGGTGGGGCAAACAGAGAGGAAGTGGTCCCTGACCGAGCGAAGGGAGCCAGGGAGCCGGGTGACTATGTAGTAGAGGGTGATGTACATGGGGGGGGGGTTCTTGGCGCAGATTTCAGCAGGAAGCGCAGCGCGGTAGCGGGTGTCACTAGTGCGAAGGTGCGTAATGAGGTCAGCGACTGTGGGAAAGGCGGCGAGGTCAGGGAACAGGTACGGCAGCATGAGGCGGCTAAGGGCAGCTGTGGCAGGGGAAGAGTAGCGTGCGACTTTAGCGTCGTACAAGGTCCTAGCACTCTTGTACTGACTGAAGTGCGCGCGCTCAAAGGATGGCAAGTGACTACGCACAGCAAGACGGGTAGCAGCATCGCATGTGGCCCACTGTGAGCGAACAGTGCTGTCAGCATCGGCAGCAGGGGTAGCAGAGGCGCTAGACGTGAGATCGAACAGTGAGAGACCGTCTTTCCTGTCGCACTGTAGGAAAAGCTGCAGATCATCGACTCAGACCTCTAAGTCAACAGCCCGACCCTCAGCATCAAAGACGAGAACGCTAGGGGTAGCCATGACAGCAGTGGCAGCAGGCTAGGGGCAGTAGCAGCAGGCTAGGTGCAGCGCAGTAGCAGGGGCGCGGCTCGGCGGTGCTCTTACCAGGGCGGTAGGGTAGAGTGCCGCAAGTGGAGGGGCAGGGCCGAGGCACGCCTGCAGGGACATGGCCGCGACACCAGCAGCGGCTCCTGCTATTGGCGGCGGCGGCTGCTGCGGCCCCGGTAGCGGCGGCGGCGGCCGTAACTGCAGCGGCGGCCGTTGCTGCTCCGGGAGGTGGCGGCGGCGGCCGCGGCTCAAGTAGCGGCGGCGGCGGCGGCTGCCGTTGTCAGCGGCGGCGGCGGCTGCTGTTGTCGGCGGCGACGGCGGCCGCTGTTGTTGGCGGCGACGGCGCCTGCTGCTGTCACTGCACCGGCGGCGGTGGCTCCTGGTGTCAGCAGCGGCGGCGGCGGCGGCCCCGGCAGTGGTAGCGGCGGCTGTGATGGCGCGACGGCTGCTGCTGCTGGGGCGACGACGGCTGGGCGGCAGGGCCGTGAAGGAGCCGAGAAGGGGCCGCGGAGGAGCGGAGAAGGGGCCGCTAAGGGCGGCGAGGGCCGTGAAGGGGCCGCGAAGGACGGTGGCGGGGCCGAGAAGGGGCCGCGCAGGGGCCGCGAAGGGCGGCGACGAGGCCGTGAAGTGGCCGCGAGGGGCCGCAAAGGGGTCGCGAGGGGCCGCAAGGGGCCGCGAAGGGCCGTGAGAGGGGCCGCGAAGGGCGGCACAGGGGCCGCAAGGGAGCCGCGAAGAGGCCGCTAAGGGCCGTGAGAGGGGGCCGCGAGGGGCCGTAAGAGGGCGCGACGGGCCGCTAAGGGCAGGGGACGCCTTGGGAGGGCAGGCACACGGGGCGCGACTCGGGCAGGGGCGAAGCGCCTTCCGGGCAGGTTTTTTTTTTTTTTTTTTTTCTTCTTCTCGATTTTCAGTGGTGGGCCCTAGGAAACGTTCCCACTAGGGAACCTGCTCTATACCATGTGAGAATCACGAGGAATGATTGACTAAGGAATGAGTGTGATACAAATATGAAACCCTAGAATTGTGTACCCCTTAGTATCTAACCCGCTACAGCCTACACAGGTTAGATCATATAAGTCTGACACGCACACGGGCACCCATATGTCTCAACCGCCTAGGGGAAAAAGGCAACCGTGTCTGGGCGGCTGGCATAATGGCTGATCTTCTTGTCAGCCTATTCCCTACCCACCCACCCCCTTCCCTTGATGGCATGTGGGTCCCTGGTGCTGATCGGGTCCGTGATGGTGACATCACAGATGTACACCGCCCGCGAACTCCTAAAAAGCTCACGTCGTCAGCGTATGCCAGGCACAACACGCCGGGGTGCAATGTTGCTGTTACTCTTAATGCAGTGTGAATCCCAGCCGCAAAAAGAAGCGGTCCTAAGGGATCGCCCTGCCGGACCCCACGTTCGCTGGATATTGGCGCGCTGTTGAAGTTTGCGTCCAGATATAGGCTGGATATTGGCTCCGCCCACGCTGTTCCCTGTGTATTCCTTGGCTTTGTCCCTGACGCGCCTGGTTGGCAGTTTTACCACCCCACCTCGCGCCGTGTCTTCCCCTCTCAGGACGTTATGTTTGATGAGCCGGTTCCCTTTTACCGTCTCTTCCCCTACCGTTCTGCCCCTCTCTCCCCCCCGCCATTCTTCCTCGCTCTACGTGCTCCCAAGGTAGACCCCCTCCCCGCTCCCGTTCCTTCTCCTTTAGGTGAGTTTCAGGTAGACCCTCCTCCCTTGATTGCGCCGGTTGAGGTCACTGGTGACTCAGGTCCTGCTGAGAGTGGTCCTTCTCGGGGTGCTGCTTCTGGGGGTGCGGAGCCTGGGGGTGCGGAGCCTGAGGGTGCGGAGCCTGAGGGTGCGGAGCCTGGAGGTGCTGAGCCTGCGTGTGAGGAGTCTGGGGGTGCTACATTTATGGGCGCTGAGGCGTCTGGTGAGCAGTCTCCTTGGAGCGGCCATCTCCGTAGTCGCTCTGCTGGTGCCTCGCCGCTCCACTCTCGTCGTCGACTCCCTCTCTCCCAACAGCAGCTGCGTGAGTGGTACGTTGGCCGTCAGGGTTGCGCTGCTGGAGCTAGGGGTCTTGCTACGGGAGGCGTTGGAGCTGGTGACTCTGCTACTTAAGTTGTTTCTGCTAGAGATTCTGGAGCTGCTGCGGGTGCAGGCGCTGGAGGTTCTAGAGCTGCTGGAGGTGCTGGCTCTGGTGGCGCTGGAGCTGGAGGTTCTGGAGCTGCTTAGGGTGCTGGCGCTGAGGGTTCTGAGTCTGCTGTTGCGCGGTCTCCTTGGAGTAGCCGCCTTCGTCCGCGTGTGCCTCTCACCTCACAGCAGCTGCACGACTGGTACGGTCGCCGTCAGGGTCGCGCTTCTGGAGCTCAGGGCTCTGCCACTACTTCTGCTGACGTCAATGGAGCTGGGAGTGGTCTTGGTCCCGGAGGTGCTCGTACTGGGGTTACTGGAGTTGCTGGGGCTGGAGGTGCTGAGCCTGGGGGTGTTGCTGCTGGAGACACTGAGGCTGGAGACCCTGGGACTGGAGGTGCCGGTTCTGGGGGTGCTGCTGCTGGTGGAGCTGGTCCTGGAGGAGCTGGCGCTGAGGGTTCTGGAGCTGCTGGAGGTGCTGGAGCTGTTGGGGGTACTGGAGCTGCTGGTGCTGGTGGCACTCCATAGCCGCGCCTGTTCTTTGCTCCTTTGTCTCTGTCGTCCCAGCCACCGCCTAACTCTGTGCTTCCCCAGGTTCTTAGTCTCCCTTCGTCTTCTGGTCTTCGGGTGAGCTGCGCAGCTACCTTGGATTGCAGATCACCCGGGATAGAGCACGCCGCACCATCACACTGACTCAGTCACACATGGTGCAGCAGGTCCTTCAGCGCTTCAACTTCACCTGGTCCTCGGCACAGGCCACTCCTCTGGCTACAGGTCACTCGCTCTCAGCTCCACCTTCGGACGAGTCCGTAGAGCCGAGTGGTCCTTACCCAGAGCTAGTGGGCTGCCTCATGTACCTGATGACCTGCACTCGTCCTGACCTTGCGTACCCTCTTGGCCTTTTGGCTCGCTACATGGCTCCTGGTCGGCACCAAAAGGTGCACATGGATGCTGCTAAGAGGTTACTACGCTACTTGTGCAGTACATCGAGCATGGGGCTCGTGCTTGGAGGACGGGGCGACGTTGTCCTCACTGGTTACTCGGACGCTTCTTGTGTTGACGACCAGGCTACGCAGCGGTCGTCACAGAACCTTCAGCCTTGGCTCTGGTTCAGTTTCTTGGCGTTCTACACGCTCGTCTTCAGTTCTCAGCTCCAGTTGTGAGGCTGAGATCTATGCCACAGCCATGGCTGCACAGGAGTTACGCTGCTCACCTGCCTGCTGACCGGCTTGGGAGAGCGGCCTCGTTCTCCTCCAGTGCTGTACGTCAACAACAAGGCCACCATTGCCTTGTGTCAGGAGCACAGATTGGAGCACAGAACGAAGCACATCGCTCTGCATTACTTCTTGGCTCGAGAGTTGCAGCAGCGTGGTCAGCTTCGTCTTGCTCACGTGGCCACTCGGGCCAACATTGCTGATATATTCACCAAGGCACTTCCGTCTGGTGATCATCAGCGTTTTTGTACTCTATTAGGCCTTGTGCCCACGTTTCCTCACTTGCTGTAGACTTTGTCTGTACTGTGATATGTATATATATATATATATATATATATACCTGCATGCTTGCTCTGCTAGGTAGAGATCACGGTGCTGTTGTTGTTGGATATATACCTCTGCATGTGAACAGGCCTTGTGGCCCCTTTGCTTGTGCTCAGTGTGTGTGGTGATGTTGTGATCCACCCTGAGCTTGCTTTGCTTGTCTTGACTGGTCTTGTGACCCGACGCACGACGTTTCCGATGACGCTACTTGTACGCCGAGTCAACGCGGGATTCGGTTTTTCAACCGTAATCCCGAGCTCGTCCTTTCCCGCAATCATGCACGACCGATATTTCGGTCGTGCAGTACTGTGCACTGACGTGCGCAGTGCTGCGCGTGGGCAGGGCGATCATTCGCCCTGTTCTGTTGCGACCGTGCCCAAAGTGCACGCTCGCAACAGTGCGAGGCACACGCGCGGGCCTGCGGGCCCACAAGCACGATCAGGACCCCAAGCGCGGGTACTGATATTTCCGCGCAGTTGACCTTGATTGACGCGAGAAATTTCAAAGGGTCAACATTGACCCCTCGCGAACACCCACGATACTTCATGAACACACACGAAAACAGAAAAACGAAAACTAACATGAACGCTCACAAACATTCATGAACAGCGCACAAACTTCACGGAATTTCACGAGCACAGTCACAAACAAAAAAATCACGAACATAGAATTAACGCACACTTATGCGAACTTGTGAAGAAATGAGGAATGAATGAACTAGGAAAGAGGTGGGTACAAGTAGGAAAACCTAGAAATGTTGTACCCCATATTGTCTACCCCACTACAACCTACACAGACTATAGCATATAAGTTTGACACACCCCCATAGGCAAAGTGGGGGAGAACAAGAGGTCACAAGACCAGTCAAGCAAAGCAAAGCAAGCTCAGGGTGGATCACAACGTCACCACACAGTCCGAGCACAAGTTCAAGGGTAGAAGGCCAGTTCACATGCAAGATCATATATAAAGGT